CCACACTGAAGCTTGTTAATAGTTGCCCCCCATATGTCTTAATTAGTGGCTTAATAAGCCTTTAGTAGTAAGGAAAAAGGCTGCAATGTTTGTTGTCATCATAGGAACCAACTCTTGAAATTGGGTGTACAATAGCACTATTCTAGTGTCGTGTTTGTTCGCTCGAATTCACTGGAATTCGAAGAAATTGAAATCTAATTTCGTGTTTGTTCGCTCGAATTCACTGGAATTCGAAGAAATTGAAATCTAATTTTTCATTTTTTTGTTTGGTTCAATCTTTCAAAAGAAATTAGATTTTTAAATGAGTCAAATTTTCCTTCACGGAAAATAAATTCCATAAAAAAACTTGAATTAAAATTCATTTCAAGTGAGAATGTAGAATGTTACTATATTATCCATTTACTTTTAGCACTACATATGAAACCTCTTTGTTGCCACCACCATCACCCACCACCGCTGCACACCATCGTCAACGCCACCGCCACCCACTAGCACTGTCACCTCCACCACCATCGACCACTGCCACCGCTACCCACCATCGCTATCACCACCTCCGCCACAACCACCTCCACCATCATACATTACCGTCGTCACTACTCGTTACATACCACCACCTACAACCGCCACAACTACCCACCACCACCACCACCACCGTCACCACCACACTACCTTCCACCTCCACCACCACTCATCACCGCGCTCCGCCACCACCACCACCACCACCTTCATCACCACCACTGTTACTACCACCATTGCCACCTCCAACACTACACCACCCACCACCTCCGCCACTACTCATGACAGCCACCATCACCATCACAATTACTACCACCACGACTGTCATCACCTCCACTACTACCCACCTTCACCTCTATCGCCATCATCACCACTATTGTCACCCTCAATATCACTGCAACCATCACCAGCCACGAAAAACCTTTCGTAGGGAAGTGACTAATTCTTATATTGTAGTATCTCTAAAACCAATTAACTGTGAGATAGTAGTTTGTACCAACATTATATGTGATATGTGATTTATTACATGATATATGATATGTTCTATTTGTTATTTGCATTGCATATAATCGATATAATATGTTAGTATTGTGAGTATTCACTGAACGTTTCGTTTACAATTGTTTATGATCATTTTTCAGGGAATGACACGGGTGGACTCATATAAACTCTCATATGCAAGCTTAAAGACTCTTAAAGTTATAGTTAATTCTTTTATAATATTATGTTTAGTAACCTGTATTTCTTTTTAAATTTCTACATTTCTTATGGTGTTATGGTTTTTAAAATATTTATTCCTAGATGACATTTTAGAAACTTCAATGACATGATATTTCAAATGTTTTTATTAGAAATGGTTTCAAGTATTAAAAATCATGATTTTACAGTGAATAAACTCTGATAATGAATTTTTGAAATTTGTTTAAGGATATTTTTAGTAATACTGATATTCGTTTTGAAAGTTTTAATAGAGTGATATTTGAACGTTTTCTTAATAAATGATTTATAATACAATTAAAGGATAAAAGTTATGATTTTTTATATTTATTATTTATAAAAAAATTAGGATTTTACAAGTTGATATGAGAGTATCTCTTTGGCTAGGATATTATTTGTAAGCTTAACCATGAGTACTCAATGAGTTTAGTGGAAAGTAGAACATCCTGGTGGTATGACGGTGGATATGTCGTACATCGTTGCAAAAGCCAAACATGCCACCCTAATCTACACTTTTTTCTCGCTTTATCTATTCTTTAATTCAACTATCTTTCTTTTCTTTTATTAGTTTTCCAATATATTTTTTCTCAATATTTCTTTTTACATTATAAATAATACCGTACTTCGTTCAACTTTACCACAAAGAAAAATACCCCTTCCATTATATATATATATATATATATTATATATATATATAATATATATATATAATATATCTATATATATTAAAATTTTAGGTTTTAAATTTCAATTAATGAAATTTAAAATAAATTGTTTAAATGAATGAAGAAGTTAAATGTGGCATGCCATGATGACTAGGTGTTCGTACGGATGGATCTGTTTGATCCGATCTAATTCGATCCAACCAAATTTCAATTCGGTTAGATCGGTTTTTATAATTCGGTTTTCAAAAAATCAAAACATTTTAAAACCATATATAATTTGAATATTAGCCAACTTTATAGAAGAAACAAAAAATTATTATTTTGTTGTGGTTTAAAATTTATAAACAACTACTAAAAAATATATTCTAGTTTAATATTTTATAGAAATTTTTTTTTTGAAATAAGTTTTATTTTATGGGTTTTTATTAGGTGAAACTTTTTCAATCTATTTGAAAAATAAATTACTAAATTAAAAAAAATTATTATAGATATACATTAAAAATATATAAATAATAAGTTGTTGTTCGGTTTTTTTTTTAACTATTCGGTTCTTATTTTATAAACCAAAACCAATCCGAAATCTAAGAATTCAGTTTTGTCGAAATCAATCCAAAAATTGAAATATTAAAAACAAATAGTCCAAATTGAACAATTTGATTTTCTCCAAAGAGTAAACAATCGGTGACCATTTTTTATTAGTGGCAAGAACAAGTATGGTAATATTGAGATGACATATGTGTAAGAGAAAAGGGAATGACAACCATAACGGGTTCCGACGATACTGCCGTCCCAAAACCACCAACCCGTTGCCACTCCCCACTCCGTTCATCCTTATGGAAGAAAATGGAAAGAAAATTTCTTCTTTTGCTTCATAGTTTTAGACACAATATAACTTAAGCTTTTCTTTTGCAAAAATAACAAAAAACATATTTGAAAATTAAACTAAATGAAAATAATCAATTAAATCAATTATCAAATTAAATTAAACGAAAATAATCAATTAAAAAATTTGAACTTAATTAAATTCTTATAGAGGTAAATAGTTTCAACCCACCTATATTTTACACATATAGATTTATAGATAAAACTATAAAAGAATAGTAAAACTCTAAATTTGAAGTGTTACTATTCAATTTTTCTTGGTTTTGTATAACTGGGGTTTGTTTAACTTGTTTTAGTATCGTGTTTATGTAATTTAAGAATCGTTAATTATAGTATTATTGTTAAATGTGATTAAATTTTAAAATATTAATACTTTTTAATAATTTATAACCTGATAACATATTAATTAAAATGTCAAATTGAGATAAACCCATATTTTACGAAAATTCAAAATTGACATATACACTGTACACATACTTTACAAATATTCAAATTGGCATCAATTAACTTTAAATGCATATGTAATATTTCTTCAAATATATGTAAAATATTTCTGTAAACAAATTTCTAAAATATTGTGTAATATTTCTACATAAATTCAAACTGGCATAAAAAGTTTTGTAATTGATTATATTTATTTAATAATATAAAATTTAATGTTATTGTAACAAAATGGTTTTAGACAAATTTGTAAAACATTATAGGGATATCTCCAGAAAAGTCCCAATATTTTAGGCAAATTTTTAATAAAGTCCTAAATTTTATTTTTTGAATAAAAAAATCCTGACTTTTTCACCTTTTGAATAAAAAAGCCCAAGAAACTGGCTAATTTATTCACTTTAGTCCTTTTTGACCTGTTCAGCAGATCATGAGACCAATTTGGTCCAATGACCTGCTGAACAGGTCAAAAAGGGCTAAAATGAATAAATTAGCCGGTTTCTTGGCTTTTTTTTATTCAAAATGTGAAAAAGTCAGTATTTTTTTATTCAAAAAATAAAATTTAGGACTTTATTAAAAATTTGTCCAAAATATTGAGACTTTTCTGGAGATATCCCAACATTATAATATGAAGGAGTATTAATAAAAATAAAAATAAAAAACTTAATATTCTAGGAATACTCTTTTTGGTTTTAAAATATAATAATAGGTTGGAGATGACTTGCTCTAAAGGATAGGAGTCGACCTTTTCAAAATCTGAAGTCGAGAGATGACTTGCTCTAAATGTGGATGGAATGGAGCGGGGTGGAAAACAAGTTGCCTTTGGTATCGACGGTGCCACCGGGAACACCATTACGTCAAAGTTGAACTACCAAATTTGAGCCAATTGTGGTTTAAATTAAAGGAGACGATGATCCCTCTCTCTTTTCTCTCAACTCTACTTGTACCATAAGCTTGCATACTTGTACCTAATTGTGTGGGATGGGAGGGGTCCTATTTTCCATGTTTTTGTTTGGGAGGGTTGGAGGTGAGAGGAAAGAATCGTGTAAATGTGGACTTAGGATAACTTTCATGGTTGAAATAAAAGTGAAGGGATTTAGAATGTCAAGTAGAATGTCATCTCCAGGTAAATTAGAAAATAAAAAATTGATGGACCGTTTTCGCTAAATCACATAAATTTCTCTCAACACCCAAACCCTTCATCGAAATGAAAGGATTAGAGCTAGAAATTGAGTGGGTAAACCTAAGTTGAGAATGAGATCTAACACAAAATCACTGAATTAAAGGTAGTAAGGTAGTCATTTATTCCTTGTCCATGACATTTGAGAATTCAATAAGTTTTGTATTTTATTGTTATGTTGTAATGCTAAACTGATAAGAATTCATCGCCAAAATTAAGTTATGAAGCTTTGATGGGTAAATTTTGAAACCCTAGGTTCACTAATTGTCCATGGATTGACTGTAATTTGATTTTGATCATGTAATTAGGTTAGTAGTGTGAATTGGATGTAGGTTTTATAGTTCTAAATCCAAAGCATGGTATTGACTATCGACTATTGAGTATTGAATCCATCAAATGGGTTAAAACTAAAAGTGAGTTTATGGTTTATCCCTTGATATATGGGTGGATATGTAACTATTCGGTTTAAATCCTTTTCTAGAATTATGAAATGTATATTAGACATTCTCTAAAAAAAATGCAAACAAAATTTAAGATGAAAGGAATAAATTGGGCAGGGTGAAACTTGGTGAAAAATGATAAGACGTGAATAGCTTTTTGTACGACTTTGTACGTGACTCACAATATTCCATTACCATCAGTATACCATCAGCAGCTATATACCTAAAAACATAGCCTCCGCCACCTCCAAATTTTTACTCTCTTCCTCCCCATCCCCATGCATTATTATTCATATTCATTTCCCTCTCTAAAAGGTAAAAAGTAAAAAACTAATCTCTATATTCCATAATCCATACTATACCCTCCCAACCGGCGACGGCGGTGGTTTGGAAGCATATTTTCCGGCGACTACTTCCACTTTGTCATCAATTCCGGTTAACATTCTAGACAATTCCGGAACTGAATTCACCTGAAAGATATGAGTCAGCTTGTGACTACTTACAACCGCCACACACACCGAGAACGCTTGAAGCAAACTCATCGATTGATCGTATTCAACCGAATAAAGCCCGTCCTCAAGTGACACCAAACTAAAACCACACTGCTTCTTCCGTCCTCCCTGCAACCAATTAAAAAAAAATTCTATCACATACAATAAATAATTCTACCAATTAAATTAGCAAATATCAATCAAGTACCTGGTAAGAAAGGTCGACCCGATTTGAATAATTTGAGCTACATGGAGATGGAGGCTTGCCGATTTCATTCAGATGAGGACCTAAAACACGAAATTGACAACCAATGTCCCACCCACCACAGTCGCAAGCCCCTCCGGATCTCCACCGGCTAATCAACGGAGAAGGCAGTCCAAAGTTAGGTAAGCTGTGAACACCGTCAGGAAGAACCACCACCGTGCTGTTGGACCTCCCAATATCTCCACCGCTTTCATCGCTTAAATTCTTAACAATTATACCCGCCAACTCCCTGTCCACCATGCAATCAGGCATTTTCTGATCCGCCTGAACAGAATCGGTGCTGTATAACACCGACTCTCGCACCACGTACAGGTCTTTCTCCGCTCCACTAAACTCAGCATGATAAGAACTCGAAATCTTCATCTGTCCAACAATGGTGTACCCGAACCTGTAATTTTTCTCTTTTGAACCTTGATACATCATCCAGCTTCCACTCTTCTTCTTGTTCTCGTGTACTGAATAGAACGCGTAGATCAAACTCGAATCATCTTTTCCAGATGGTAGTTTTTTAACAGCAGCAGCTAGAATGTCGCTACTGCTCTCAATAACAAGTTTGAAAAAAGGGATTCCGTTCTTCATTGTAAGCTGTAAAAGAGCCTGTACGTTTGATGATCTGTTGTACTGCTTCTTGCTATGAATCGATTCATTATCGTTTAAATCTAATTTTGGTTTCTGAACCTTATCCGAAAAATGAGCTCCTCCTTTCAGCTTCAACAATGGATCTAGTAACCTCCTTAATGGACTAGACCTCGATGGAGTTGTAGCATTTCCCTTCTTCCATCTATGATCATCGGATTCAAGATTAACCGGACCAGATTTCACAGATATATAAGTTGGACTTAGCTGTGGAATTGATGAGCTTTCCTTGAAGCTAAAGCTTCTGGTCATCTTCCCGAGGCTACTAAAGCTAAACCTCCTCATCGGAGATGAATGTCTTCCTTTTGCACCACTCTGTTCATCTGTCGATGGAGTCAATGGTAAATCTACCTCAGGCTCTGCCACGGAATCGAGAGATAAAGGAAAAGGGCAAGAATGAGGAACATCGGAATACGGGATTACTGAATCAAACTCCACCTCCGCCGGAGAAAATGAATCGGATACTCTGCTTTCATTTGCTTCAATCATATGAACATCAGGTGAAATCGAAACATCATCGCGATGATTAATATCAATATCCTTGGATTGAATTTTTGTTTCTGATTGTTTCCCTTTTTTAGTGTCGAGCTCCACCGACTGAATTTGCATATCATCCAACATTTGTCCAGAAGTTTCAGGAATTTGCAGTTTTAGTACCTGGCCTCTAGGCCATCTAACACCTGGGGGAAGTCTTTCTGAAGAAGATGAATTTGGAGTGGTGTTTGATCTTTGTTGATCCCTCCGATGTGGATTCATCTTTTTCCTATTGTGATTATGAGAGGGTGATGATGTCTTCATGTTATATCTTGGTGGAATACGTTTTTCGTTTGATTTCCAGTTTTCTAAACGACCCCAGTCAAGAACACCAAAATTTAACGCTTTCCCTTGAATATTTTTTTCACCTTTTTCTTCACGTTGGAGATAACCAGGCAAATTTCTCATGTGCTTCACAAGGCTTTCATCTTTTTCTCCGGTATGAATATGATCTTCACTTGCATTTTGTCTAGGTTCATGACGTTGACCAACATACAATGGGTTTTCCAGTTTAGTGTAGTCTAATGATTTTCTGATCCTATTTGCTCGTAGAGTTACTGTTTTCTCATGTAGCCCTTTTGGCGTTTGTTGTTCTCGTGAATTCATCATTAGCCGTGCACTGTATCTGATGCTTTCATTCATTCATGGCAACTGGCAACAATGAACAAGATAGTGTTTAAGTAAATATATTGCATACACTCAAAATCTAATATCCATATATGTGTTTGCATTTTACAAAAGGCATAATGTTATGAAGAATACTATCACTAAGTAATCTACTGCAAGCTCTGAAAATCCATATACCATAAAAAAATGTTGGATCTACTCGCCCAATTGCATTCAGTAGAAGACAAGAAGAAAATGACAAGTGAAATCACACTAACAACCAAAATTACTACTATATGTTTATACAAGTAAAAACTTTAGGGAATACGTAAAGACAAACAGATAAGGCATCTTCTTCACCACCATTAATAATCCTTCAAGTTGCAGCGAATACTTTAAAATAAATCTAACACGGATGGAAAGAACATAAAAAAGCTATGTGAACAAACGTCGCATTTATTGATACTTTTTTTGGCAAGCACGTTTGGAATTTTCTGAAGGCATCTGAATAAAGTTCTACCGGAGATCGGATAGCAACGAGGTAGATCCTATTTGAAACGAATCTGGAAGCGAAAGCATGTGACGGAAATAAATCAATAATACGAATCCCCGATAAATCTTCAAGTTCATACACAAAAATCACAGATCCAAGGAATCTAATAGCTAAAAACGAAGAAATTCACACATACATTATAACTATATATCTGATAAAATAGGAAAGGGGAAAAAATCAAATAGAAAGGAAAGAGTACGCCGACGCAAACAAACAAATCAAGAAAACGAACGGAGACAAATCAAAAATCACAAATCTAGAAGCTACCTCCATTCGAAGCTTCAAGAAACCTAGTTCTATTCAGTTGCATTACACGAATGAGCCAAGAAGAAAATAATTACACAATAAGAAAGGAAAGAGAAAAACAAAAATCAACGAAATCTTACTCTGCAGTAGACGATTGTCCATTTCAGGAATAACACGATATGATTATTTGTGGTCTCCAATGGCGGAAAACGAAAGCAATCCAGAAGGTAACGTTGAATGTGAGGAAGAAAACCCCGCGAAATCTGCTACACTGTATGAGTGTGTGTGTTTCTGTGAAAGATGAGAGGAGGAGGGGGGTTTTCGCTTTCAATCGAACGGTTAAAAGGGGAATGAATGGGAATCGATAGTGGGGCCCAGACGTTGCGTGCTGGTGGGACCCATAGAGTGAGGAGGTGACGTCATACGGGTTTCCCGTGAGCCAAGAATGAATGCAGTAGTAGGACTGTAGGGACGATGAGCAGGTGAGTGGGACGGAGGAGCAGCGACTTCAGATTTGTCTTCGTGTGCTCTCGCACCACCAAATTTCCAATCATATTGGTGGGTGGTAGGAGGGGAAAGAATTCTATTAACCAATCATCTCATGCCACGTTGCCTATTTCATATTCCTATGGGAACAACATTTATATAGTGTTTGATACTTATAAAAAAATACTGTTAGTCTTTTACTTTTTATATTGGATTATTAATATTTCTATATTTGTAGGAACGAATGCCAGGTTATATTAAATTTTAAAGTTACATATGTGAGTGGGAACAAGAATATGTAATAGGTACCAAGAATATTTTACCAACATAACTGTTACATTATCGGTTCGACTGCAAACATAGTAATATATATATATATATCTATATATATATATATATATATATTATATATATATATATATATATATTATTATTTGTTGCAGTCTATATATATATATATATATTACTATGTTTGCAGTCGAACCGATAATGTAACAGTTATGTTGTATATATAATCATTTTTCTATTTATTATTTAAGATTACGACATTTATCATATTTAATAAAATTAATAATTTTTTATTAGACTTGTTATTAGATAGGAGTATAGATATAAAGAAAAAATAAAATAATATTTAATTTTTATAAAAAAGACATCTAAGTAACTTACATGAATTAATTACAAACGTAGTAATTTACATGAAGTATATAATGAACAAAAGATAAACAATAAAAAGAATTATCTTCATTGTTAGGTCATAAATTGTGGTTTATACTTTTTTTTTTCATAAGCTATTAGAGTTCTCGGTCTAGGACCGAAATCACATGTGATTTCGGTTAGACTTTATATTGTTTTGTTTGGGTTTTGGGATTGGGCTTGGTTATTAGGTCTAGGTATAAATAGTGTCTTTTGATCTTGTAGAGAGCCGTTTTTAAGAGAGGGACGTTTTTGGGGGCTGCCATAAGCCAAGAACGAGATCTAGAGTGAAATAGAGAGAAAACAGCGTGTAATTGGAATCTTGTGTACCAGACGATTAATCAATATATTGTATGCATTGAAGATTAATTATCTTGTTCTTATTCATCTTATATCTTGCATTATACATTTTGATTGAGATTCCACACCATCAAAAGTGAATCCGATTGATACGTAGGAGAATTCGGGACTTACAAGTGGTATCAGAGCTTGGATCGGTATCAATCGGGTCATTACAAATAGTTTTTCCTGGAGTTTCTTGGTGTTTTTGATTCATATTTTATGAATTTTTGGCCATTGTTCCTCGTGTTCTTCATATTTTTGGAGTTTTGCTCGAGTTTGGCATTAAAGATTTGAAAATCTCGTGTTTTTTGCAAGTTTTTGGTGTTTTTAGTCGAAATCTGCGAGACTTTGGCGGCAGCCTTCGGTTTGCGGTCAAACCCTAGCAGATTTCGGAGCTCAGCAACGTTTGCGGTCGGATTCGTAGGATTTCAGTCAGCAGCGAACGTTTCCGGTCAGCAGCGAGGGTTCTCGGTCCGAAGTTGTGGAGGTTTTCGGTGCAAAGATCTCGGACCCGCAAATTTCGGTCCGCTGTTCTCGCTTCGCTGTTTTCGGTCCGCAGATTCACGGTCTTGTTCTCGGTCCGAGATTTCGGCCTCGCATCCTTGGTTGAAATTTCGGATTTTCAATATTTTGACTTATTTTCGGTCCAAACATATTTTTGATCCAATAACTTCGTTTTTGATATTAAAGTTGCGTATTTGATCAAAAAGCCTCGTATTTGGTCAAATACTCTCGTTTTTGGTCTTGAAATTTTGTTTTCAGTTTAGAAATTTTTGTTTTCGGTCAAGGTTATTTTATTTTTGGACAAAAAGTTTGACTTTCAACTTTGACTTTCAAGTTTGACTTTTAGTTTTGACTTTTAAGTTTGACTTTCAGGTTTGACTTTTCAAGTTTGATTTTTCTTGGTTTCACAATCAGATCTATTTTTGGTAAATTATTCTTTTTGGTGAATAATGAGTTCATCAATCACAAAAGAGGTCAATGAAACTTCCTGTTCTCAAGCATGTAGTGATACAATTAAACTTCTTCGTGATCAAGTTGATATATTACGTAGAGACAATGAGGACCTTAGGTATGAAGGATACACTCTCAGGAAGGGCCAAAACCCTTTAAAAAAATCAATTAGAGGCCAAAACCAAGGACTTTAGAAAACTTCAAGAAGAATGCAACACAAAGTGTGAACGTTATGATTATGCTAAAAAGGAAATTACCAAATTAACTGCAGAACTTGATGCATTTAAAGCTAAATATAAAGATGTTGAATTTAACTTCAAGAAATTTGACGTGTCAAGTGAGGTAGTTGTGTCCATGATAGAAAAACAGTTAAAATTCAAAGATAATCAGAATAAGGGCCTAGGGTATCACAATGTTCCACCTCCCTTCAATGACAACTATACCACACCCCTTGAAACCAATGAGGTAGAGATACCTGCTCAGTATAGCCAAACCCCTGTACCAGCTTCAGTTAAGACTGAACAATCTGGCCCAACTGAGAATATTGAGGTGAATGATTCTAATGCTTCTACTTCATGTGCAGATAAAGAAGTAGTGCAAGATGAGCATGAGCAAAACAAAAATGATTCTAGTTCAGCTGAAAATAATTCAAACTCTTGTGGTGTTGATACTCCCACTGTGGAAAAACCCAAGCCATAAAAGTCTGTTAAACAATCTGTTAAATGTTCTTGTGCTTGTGCTTGTGGAAGTTCCTTCAAACAAAATTCTTTTGGACAAGGACCAAGTCACAATCTTATCTACATGAAAAGGCAGACTTGCTTTAACTGTGGAATCCTGGTCACATTGCCAGAAATTGCCCATATCGTGTATATGTTCCTTACTACCAACATGGTTGGCAGAAAGTGGCAAGAGGGAGATTCTCCAAAAGAAATCCTTTGAGGTTACATTCACGCAATGGTGACTGGAACACAAAAGGGCCAAAAATCAAACTTCCAAGGACAATAAGGGAATGTCGGACAATAAGCCAAATTCAAGAGATGGTTCAATTAAATGAAGATCAGTTAGTTCGAAGTCATCTCGGCGATCGGTTTCAAGTTCTAAAGCAAGTGATAATGTAACATCCCGTTTTAAGAAGAATAATTAAAATAATAAACCGGAATCCCGAGAAGTAATTTTATTATTTTATTATATTATTATAGCCCAAAATCGAATTATAATTATTGGGGTGTTGGTTTCGGGGAGCCAAATGATATAATTTTGAATTCTGAGGGTTAAAGTGTAATTTCGGGATTTATTTTGCAAATGATTTTAGGAGTCAGGGGGTGTTTTGTAACATATGGACTCCATTTGAGAATAATTTATGGAGGAGGGGTTGTTTTGTAACTATAGGACTTATTATGAAAAAGAATTATGGGAGCAAGGGAAAGGGTGAAAGGGTGAAAGTAATTAATTATTTGAAAAAAAAAAAATAGAGGAGGAGGGACCATCTTGTTATTATGGGAAAAAGGCTAAGAGAGTCGGGGGTATATAAACCCGCTACCACCATTCGAACCCTAACCCTAAAGCATTATCTACAGCCGCCACCTCCTCCACCCTTATACCTCCCTTACCGGTGCCGCCATCTCCGGACCTTCCTACCGCCGTTCATCAACCTCCAGCCGACGCCCTTCATTCGTGTTCCGATCTGACGAGTCCAGCCGACTGCCGCCGCTGCCCCGCCATCCAAACGCCACAGCGACCACCGAAGCCACCGCCGCAACCGTGATGTCGGTAAGGACGTTGCAGCCGTATCACCCTTCGCCGACGACGACAAGGCCGCTGCCTTTTGCCTCGTCGTACCCACTTCTTCCTCACCCTTCTTCTGTTCGTGGACATTGCTTCGTAACCGGTGGGGTTGCCCACCCTCTAACCGGTGGGGTTGCCCACCCTCTCCGCCGTTGTTGGAAGCCGTATGACCACCGAAGATCGGCGCCACCGTCTCACGTTCACGCTGTCGCCGTTATTTCGCTACCCCAAACGCCACAACCGCTGCTTGTGACGTTGTGGGTTCCATCAGTCGAGAATCGGGGATGGTTTTAGGCCGCCATCGATGTCAAAGCTGCTGCTGTTGCCGTCGATTATGCTGTTGTCGCTGCTGCCCACCTCAGGTGGGTTTTGGGTTCATTTTCCGAGCTAGGGCTGCCGCCATGCACCACCACCGGCCGCCACTAGGTTGTTATGAATGCGTGTTTGTATTAGTGTGTGTATGTGTGTGATTATTTAGGGTTTAAGCATTGTAAAATGTATCTAAAAGAGGAGTAATTAAAAGAAACCCTAACCACCACCGTATGGTGGTGGCTACCGCCACCGGCCGCCGTGTCGGGTGGCAGTGTGCCTTGTTTGGGTTGTGACTCGTTTGGATGTTTGGACAAGGGACTACTAAACCTTAATGGGCCCAATAAAGCCCTAATGGACCTAAAGCCCAACCATTTGATAAATGGGCTAATATTTGGGTAGGAAACCCCAATTAGGGTTTGGAAAACCCTAATTGCATAAAACCCTAATTTTTGGGAAAAATCGGGATTCACACTTGAATTAATTATTAAACTTAAAGTATTAAAGTATAATCATTGGTAAATTAACCTAAGATAATAATGGACTTAATGGATTAAGCCCTTAATGGGTTAAGTAGGAACACTTAACCCTAATCATCATTTTATGTGAAACCCTAATTTCACTTGGGCATTGAGTTGGGCCTTCCTTTTTGGGTTTTGGTGATTGGACTATTAATGGGCTTTTCAAGAATAAGTAAATGGACTAAATAATTGTATGGGTTTTAGGATAAGGCC